CCCCCCTTCTCTGGGCAGGGCCGAAGACGTGGATGGGAGGAGCATGGTTTCCCCCATCCCTTTGAACATAAACATCCATCAGTTTTCCTTTTAGTGCGCCTCGCGAAAACTGTGCCTCGCTAGCCACATGCGGCTCTTTGGCCCCTTGAGTGTGACTCTTCCACAAAATACCGACTTCTGCGCATGGGCCACGAAGTTTCAATCGCACTGTATGTGCGCGCCCGCACGTGGTATTTTGTGGAAGAGCCAGTCAAGGGGCCAAAGAGCCGCATGTGGCTCGCGAGCTGCGGTTTGCCGACCACGGGCCTAGGGGATGGCAAAGCGATCAGACAGAAGAAACTCGAGTCCCGAAAGGTCCTCACCGAGCCGAGACCCCTGTCGGCCTTGGCCCACTGCCCGAATTCTGACTGTTATGCGAAAGAGAAACACGTTTCTATTTCAAGTCGTTGCGTTTGGGAGCCTCTGCTACAGCAGCCTAGCCGAGGCCCTAAGTAATCCGTGGTCCGCCACAGGAAGGGGTGGCTGGGGGTCTGACTGTCGGGAACGTGGTTCTATGCTGAGCGCCATTTAGACTTACTTATTGCTACCCCTGCTATTACACAGGTTGCTAAGACTTCCTAAGATAGTATAGTAGGTATAGTCTACCCAGCTCGCTTACACTTTGAATTCTTTTTCATTTTAAAACCAAGTATATGCCAGGTAGCCCTTTTGGGAGCTATGGCTCTTGCCACGCCGGAGTACGTGTTTGTAGGAGGCAGTGGAAGCCATGCCAGCTGCTGGGCTTCCTTTATGCTGTGACTTCCAGGAAAATGAGAGCCAGGTGTGCTTGGTGCTCTCTGTCATCAGCCCGCTACCAGAGGTTCCTTTTTATTGTTTCTTCCCCTCGGTACATGCCATTTTCTGTTTGTTAAAGGACTGATGGCATCTGCGGCCACATGACCAAGCGTTAGTCCGCAGAGAGTGGTTGGAAGTGATGCGTGCCGTTTCCAGCTCCCACCTTTTACTAGGAATCGTGTGTCTCTCCCACCCTTCCCGGGGGCTGGAACCCCGAGGCGATGATATGAGTGCGTTTTGATTGTGGTAGGAAGACGGCACCCTAGGGGATGATGAAGCGATAAGCCAGGAGGGCCTGGGTGCTGGGCAGGTGCTGTTCCCTGGTCTGGGTGGTGGTCACACAGGTGTGTGTGGAGATAAAAGGGAACTGAGCCACCCTCTTAGGATTCTGTACCTTATTATATCTAAGTGATAGGACAGTGAGAAAGAGAAGGTGGGAGGAGCCTGGGTCCCTGAATGACCGTGTGGAGTGGAATTCACACTGGGCTGTTACACAAGAGGAGAACTGCTGGATGGCTGGTGCTATTGTATCTGGGAGCTTTTGTTCTGGCTATTTAGCTTGTACCTTGACAAATCTGTTTAAGTGTAGGCATTTTTACTTTCTGTTTCCACTATTTGCACAGAGCTTGGTGAATAGAAGGCGCTCCGTGTCTGTTTGTTGAGTGCACGGTTCTGTATATGGCTTTTATCCGCATGCGAGGACATCCGGTGTTAACCCTTTGAGTGCCAACCAATATCCCAGGAACTAGGCTAAAATTGCCAAGGCATTTTTGCTGATTTTACAGCAGTTTAGGAAAAAAAATTATGAATCGCAAGTAAATGAAGTTACATATTCAAAAACTTAAGGAAACCTTTACTACATTGGTTTTCATCGTTGACATAGATTGTTTGCTGATTGTATTATAAAATACTAGTAGAAAAAAATTTGAACAAAACATATAATGTTAAAATAAAGCGCTCCCGGCACTTTTGGCGAAAGACAGGAGGAGCGCAATTGCGCTCCCCGGCACTCTAGGGGTTAATAAGAGCCACCACATGCAGAGGGAGGGGACCCCCCCCCCCCCCTGCAGTTTCGCAGCCCCCTACCTCCCAGGCACCTCCCACCTTGAGGGCCAAAGGGGCCAGCTGCAGCCAGCGTGCTCTCAGCTTCTATAAATGATAAGGGCTTCCCGAGACAGGAAGTGCCCCCTGCCCGCTGCGGGGTGTGGAGGTGGGTGCTACTTCCCCGTGACTCACCATCACCCTGTGCTCCGCAGCTGCCAGGCTCCGGGTGGGGGTGCAGGTTGGTGCAGGTCCCGGCAGAGCTGCAGGAGGGGAGCGCTAGGTCACGGGCTAGGCTGTGAAGGAGGAGGAGGAAGGGTGGACGGCCAGTGACAGCTTGCTGTAGCAAACACTCATTTCTTTTTTTAAATATGTTTTCATTGATTTCAGAGAGGAAGGGAGAGGGGGAGAGAGAGAGAATCATCAATCGGCTGCCTCCTGCACGCCCCACAGTGGGGATCGAGCCCACAACCCAGGCATGTGCCCTGACAGAGAATCAAACCGTGACCTCCTGGTTTATAGGTTGATGCTCAAACACTGAACCACGCCAGCCGGACACACACTCATTTCTTTGATCCTGCACCGTGTGGGGGTGGGGGCCGGAAGGGTACACAGGATCCCTGGCCTCAAGAGCTCACAGCCCGGCTGGCAAGACAAGACATGCCCCTGAACAAATGCCATGATAAAGACCATACCAACCCCACTATTTCACTCACATCTACTAGATGTCTGGCACCTTCTATACATTATTTACTTTTACAAAACTCTCACAGGTTGGTACTGTTTGTAGGAGAGAAAACAGAAACTTGAAAAGGCAAAGCAAGGTCAGAGCCAGGAGGCCTGACGAGGACGCTGAGGCCGATCTTTCTAGTCTACGCCCCCTGCAGCCGGGGCCCCCGGGCTGGAGACGGCTGTCAGGGCTGTAACAGGCCCTCTGCACGGTCCTGGGAGCAGGCTGTGGTCTGCGAGGGCTCCCAGAGGCCCTGAACTGGGCCTTCAACATTGAGGGTAACCCACCAATGACGACGTGTGGGTCATTCTGGACGGCACGTGCAGAGCCCAGAGCAGAGGAGCCATGGCTCATCTTAGCTGGTGTCACCAGGGCCCTGGGTGAGCAAGGGGAGCGGCAGGGGTGGGAGATGAGGCCAGAAAGGTGAGCAACTGCCCTTTGGGGTGAGCCCTCGAGGGCGGAGGGTCAGTCATCTGTCAATGGGATGACATCACTGCCCGTGTGTGGGGGGGAATGTTCATTCGTTCGTTCATTCATTCATTCATTCATTCATTCATTGTTTTCTCATTGAACAAGACCAGGGCTCTCTGTGGGGCCTAGTTGTGGCCTGTAGGGGGGAGCACCCTCCCTGGATGGCCACCTGGCTGCATGGACCCTGCCTGGTCCCTCACTGACATCCCCCTGGGCTACCACAGACGAGTCCTGAAAACCCCCACGTCCTAAGAATGGAACACTCACTTCCTTCCTTAGGAAAAGAGTTCTGTGGTAACATACATTGAGAAAACGGGGAACGCTTGCAGGGTAGCTTCTTAAAGTCTCCGCGGAGTGCAGAGCTGGGTTTCACTTTGTGTGTCAGTTTCCCGAGGCTGCAGGGACAGAGAATGACCCGCTCACAGTTCTGAGGCGGGAAGCCGAGGCCCAGGGGTCAGCAGGCCTCCCTCCCGTCCCCTCCCCCAGCCTCTGTGCGGCCGGCAGGGCAGCACGCGGATGCCTGGCTCGCTGCTGTCACCTTCCATCTGCAGCAGTTACCCTAGTCCCTGCCTCCTGGCCGTCGCCTTGGCATCTTCCTCTTCTTATAAGGACACCAGCGAGCCTGCAGCGAGGACCCACCTCCTGCAGCCTGACCTCCTCTCAGCTGCTGACATCTGCACAGCCTGTTTCTAAATAAGGCCACGGGCTGAGGTCCTGGGGTTCGCACTTCAACAGGCACTTTGTGGGGACACAATTCAGCCCTTGACACTTTGTTTAGCCCAGCATTTCCGCAGAACTTTTTTCCTTTTGAAAATGCCGACGGGAGAGGTAACCGTGGAGGAGGCTCCTGGCCGAGCCGGGATGCTGGTCCCCTGAGGCCCTGGGAGGAAAGGGAAGGTCCAGGGGACAGCGACCCCGGAGCCAGGGTTCCAGGCCTGCCCTAGGGGAGGGGGATCCCCATTTTCCCAGGAGCCTGGTGCCTGCTGTCCTGGGCCCCCACCAAGGCCACCCACCGGCTGAGCCACCCCAGAGTGTGGATGGAGCAGACTTGGGGTCCAGGTCGTCTGTCTCCAGCGGCCCAGCATCCCGTGTCCCAGCTCCCGCCACCCCTGGGCCCGCACCCCCAGGCTCCGGGCTGGATGTGGCAGGGTTCTCACACCTGCTGGGCTGGCTTGTGGAAAGTACCAGAACGGACCACAGGTCGTCCTCCCGCACTTCCCCCGCCGCTGGGCTTACAACGGCTTGCACCGCTCCAGCTCCAGCTCCCGCTCTGTGGCTCCGGGGAGAAGAGAGGGAGCATTTGGAATTGTCTCTGTGGTAGAAAGACACGGATTCAAGTTCAGGGTTGGCCACCAACTGCATGTGACCTTCAGCGGGCTTGTTCGCTTCATCTGCATTTGTAAAGAGGCGAGGGTAACAGCACAGGCTGCTCCCTCCGCCCCCCAATGCGAGGCCGGCCTGGTGCAGAGGTGCAGACGGCAGCACTGACCCCCTCCTCTCTCTCCTCTCTCCTTCGTTCCAGGGACAGGAAGCGGCGACTCTGAACATCCCTTGACTGCCATCCTCACAGCCCCAGGGTCTCCCAGGCCTCCAGGGCTGCGCCAGGCGCTGCTGAGGGGGATGCTAATGACGAGCCCTCCCACTCGGAAGGACTAACCGCTGTGACCCCGCAGGGCCGTCCAGTTACAAGTCTGCTGGACCACCAGCTCCACAGCGTGCGAGGTCAGACAGCCCCAGGTTCAAGAATGAACCTCAGAGGCCAATGGCCAGCAGCCTTCAGCCCCCGGAGTCCCCAGGCCACAGGCTGCGGCTGTGGCTCTGAGTTCCCGATTCTCTGACCTTTTCGTGTGCAAAAGGTCAGTGAGGGAAGACATGGCCACGGGTGGACAATGGGATGTGGTCCCTGGTCCCTCCAGGCCCAGGTCGGAGGCTGCCTGTCCCGGATCTCAGCCTCGCCTGCTCTCCTGGGGCCTGGCCGTGGGCCGTTTGAGCCTGTGGCCGGGTGGGGAGGGTTTGGCACCTGTGGCCTGAGGACTGTCCCAGAGAAACCCCAGGCCCTGCAGGAGAGGCGCTTCCTGGCCTCCATCCTGCTTGCAGAGACCTGGGTGCCTCGCTGCGATCCTTTAAAAGTCCCCTCACCCAGGAGAGTGCTCCAGAGGCAAATGCAGTGATTTTCGCCCAAGGCAGACCCTGGGTAAGTGACACGCGCCTGCTCCCTTAAAACCACCACAATCAAGGACTATTTGTTAAGCTGCTTATTTGGTCCCGACAAGCTGCCAAGATCACAAAGGGAACATTCGCCACCGATGGCTCTGAGTGGCCAATCTTCCTCCCACTCTGAGTCCTCCCTAGCTTAACCCCTCCCGCCCCCAGCTCTGCCGACTCGACCTCGCCTGGGGCATTTCCCCAGCTGCTGGGGGCATGGGGCAGGGGGTGACAGCTTTACCGAAGAGCAAGCATCTCTGTCTGAGGGATCCTCTCTTCCGTGGCACCGGCATTATTTAACTCTCGCTTTACAGATCAGTCTTTCACATGTTTACCTGCTCTTCTCCCAAGGGGACCGGCACAGCTCGAGGGCTGGGCCACTTCCTACGAGGCTTATCGTGTGTGATTTACACGTGTGGTTTTAGGGTGCGTGTACATGTGTGTGCACATGTGCGCGTGCATGGGT